AGTTTATGACCTATGTAATTGTTTAAAGTATATGTTGTCTCATGACATAAGTAAATGAATCGAAACTAATTATCATAATAATAAAGACATAAACATTTTAAATAATGATATTCTAGAAAACTTAGTTGCTCTCTTATTCATTCCTTTAACGTTTCACGCTTTGATCTTTATATTTACTTTCATCAATTATGAGACTGTTTTAATTTCAGCTTTTCAGAAAGTCCGTCACTCAGATTGAATTTGTTATATTAAGTTAATGGTTTGATAAATAGGAATGTGAAACGAAATTGTCAGATTAACATGACTGTGCTTGATTTCTTTCCAACACTTCTCTCTAGAGACAAACACGTGATACTGTTCAAATTATTTATATCATCGACTGTCACTTCTTGTTCACTCATAAATATTTTCCGGATGTCACCGTCTGATGAAGATAAGTCATTTTATGTTGTGTCTGGTATTTCACAATAAAAACGACAAATCGTCATTATTCTGTAAAATGTAAAGGGGAGTGTATGTTATGATCGTGCCTTTGCCATTACAATGTAATTTATTTTCTGACGTAAAGCTCATTTTCCGGTTTAGGTGTTCTGAAGTCATCGACTTTAGCCACTCTGCCCTATTACGCACCTCAAACTTAATGAATTATCATTAGTGAAATCAATTTGGAAGTATTAAAATTTATTCATTTTAATTAAAGTAATTTTGTTCATTTCTAATATAAATATTTCATTTATAAAAAACAAAACAAATTGAGTAAATACAGTAAAGCATAAAATTGATTGTTTCAAACCAATAACTTACCATCTTAAGACATTCTTAATCATGTCCTCATTTGTCCAAAGCATATGGTCCTTTTTCCTCTCCGTAATTGAATTGTGACAAACATGTTCGACGGTCTTGCAATGAACTGTTTAAATTGGTTCATTTTCTCAGTTCCTAATAACTCAATTGTTTGGCCTGTCAATATTGTTCAGAACAGTAATGCATAATTTGACAATATTTCTCCATCAGAAAGGAGTACCGATTGGACAGATACTGTATGTAAATAACTTGATTATGTTATCAGTAATCACTTGTTTCCTAAATGTAAGAAACAAATCATTTTTAGAATATTTAACATTTAGTTCATACACAATATATTTTCTTTGATTCTTTAGGAACAATTAAGCTTATAGACATACTCATGAATCCGTTTCACTGAACTCTGAATGTATTGTTTGTTCTCAATAAAACAACAGTTGCTCTTGACATACAGGGTCTGAGCCCACACAAAAAGCAAGCGATTCTTAGATTTCTAGTCCGTCGCGTTAAATACTTGGCCATCTCGATTTTATATTATAATCAATATAATGAAAATATATAATTTGCTAGATATTAAATTGTTTTCCGCGAAAATAATCAAATGAGGCATATATACATGTAAATGTTTATTTTATAAAATCAGAAGTCCCCTCTCAAAGGCAAAAAGGAAACATCAAAAATAGGTATTTATCTTCACAAGCATTAAATAATTTCAAAAAATTGTTGTAAAATGGGAAATTGCTGGTTAATTTTTTTAAACATACTATAACCTTTAAGTATAGAAAAGGAAAGTTTAATTTGTAACTGTGATAAATTCAATTTACTTTGGACAGTTGACAACGTATTTTGTCGTATAAGCTCGATATTCGGTCAAATCGCTAAAATGTCTTTATATCGCCTCTTTATCAATAGTTTATTGTTCAACATAGTGAAGGATGACTTCATATTGTAACTCGGATTTTTTATGAGCAAAATTATTGTTAATAAGTTTATCGTGGTTCAATATAAGATTAAATAAAATAGATACTTTGTTATTTCAAAATAATTGAAACAAAGTTTCATGCATTATTTTATTTTCATTGTTGTTTTAAAATTATAACTAGTACATTTAATTGCTACTCAAACGTATTATTCAATAATATGACTCAACCTATGAATTAGCAAAGAGAAAAAGAATCGATATAAATGCTTTTGGTATCAATTAAAATTTTTCATGAAGATAAATTTCATTGAGCGAAACACTTTTTATCACAGTGTACAATATGAAAATTACTATGATATTTTAATTTCAGAAATTCCATCATTCCGATTTAATTTGTGATAAATATGTCTGGTAAAAAGTTTGATAAATAGTAACGCGAAATGAAAGTGTCAGATTTACATGACTGTGTTTTATTTCTTCCCGACACTTATCTCGAGAGAGACGATAACTAACTGTTTGCATTGTTTATTTCATCGTCTGTCACATCTTGTTTCCTCATAAATATTTTCTCGATATCACGGCCTGATGATCACGATAAGTCTTTTCATGTCTGATACTTAACAAAACAAACATCATAAAGTCATTTTTTGTTAAAATTATGTTTAGTTTTGTCGTGCTTATGACACTACAAATGTGCATATTTTTAAAACTCTGCATTATTCCCTGTGTTTACTGGCAAATGATTCTTACCTAATTGGCATCAAACGCACCTAAAATAGAGAATAACATAATCTTCGAAACAATGGTTTCAAGTGTCGCAGCTTGTTATATATTAAGACTTTAGGTCAAAACATATGAATCTATTAATAAGGAATAAATTATTGACATTGGTAAAGTTAGTAAATCTCCTCGAGTCATAAGAGTTATACTCATTTCTTTTCTGTTGTGATACAAAAGCATTAGAAAGGAAATTCAATATAAATACTTTCTTCATATAATTCATTGCTCATACTTGATCATGTTGTTGCAACTAATCCACATAAGCTATGCAATAACCACCTCTTTGTATCATAATTTGGGGGAGCTTCTGTTGAAAATGTGTCAGAGTTATATCATATACATATACAGTGCGTTAACTGGAGTGCAAGTATCAGCACTCCAGAGCATGCCCATTGATTGACTTACTTTTTCTGGAGGCAGGGAAATGGATAGCGATCAGATTTGTGTCATTGATTAGGTGTTAGCTAGGTCTAGTATTGTGACAAAAGGGAACGGTTTGTTTTGTTTTTGTTTTTGCCTGTGATACAAAAGAGAAAGAACATCAAAACACTCGGCAATCAGATTTATGTTCGGGGGCTAACTCCCCTCGGACAAATCAGATAGCGTCGTGTTTCGATGCTCTTTCTATTACATAAGATAAATAGAAGCATGGTAGGTTACATATTGCAACATCTGATTAATTAACGAAACATAACAGCTGTTTATATACATTATCAACCATTTAGTATGTTAGCCAATGATGAATAGACATAAATGAATGTTCCATTCATATCTTATTGATAACCAAATTCATATAACAGATAAAGAACTTCAAATGGGCATTTCTTTATTATATTCTAAATATGAATATCATGTTTGTTTTATATTGTCCCTGGCGGTTACTATATCTCCTGGAACCTCTGATTCCATGCAGGAAGTACTAGCTGTTCATTACCTCCTTGCAGGAATTTATTGAATTATACTGCATTTTATCTGCAGACCATGATGGCATTTGTTCAATGTTTTGACAAGTAATAGATAACAAAATATGTAATTAAACATGTTTCTCATTCTCAAAAAGCAAGAGCAATATCATGATTTTCAAATGGTAATATGCTTATCCAGTTGACTCTTAATTATAACCGGGGCGATTTCTACTTTTCATACAGCAGTTTAAAGTGGTACTATCATTTATAAATCTATCAAATATGAGAACAAAGATTAACAAGGAAAAGGGGCATTTAAAAAAATATGCATCCACATTATTAAAGATGCCAATATATGTCAATATGATTTTTTCATTGATTGAAACATTCCTGAATTAAATTTTGCTTACCAGCAAAGCAAAGACAACTTTACAGCGAAAGCTTGTAATCTTTTCTTATATGTAGCATCGTATAAATACCTTTCAGACAAGAAATTGCGCATTGTTATTTCACAAAACGTTGCAGTGTAACTTTACAGTACTGTTTTAACAGAGTGGGATCATGCGTACTATGTGGTGCGCACAAGTGGCTTATTAAGTCTCCAGTCCGTTACTGACAGCAACAGCATCAACAGATATAAATCCCCTTTTTATTAAATACACAAACAGTTTTGAAATAAGATTAAGAAAATAGTATATGATCGACTTAAAATTGAAGGGAAATGAATCCAAGACAATATATAAATTGATTCAAGTAAATTTCAACATCATGTGAACACAGCAATATCATTAGAACATGGGCAAATTATATTCTCTCAAAGTATATTGCTATAAATATTAGACGGTAATTACAGTAAGTGTTGCAGAAATATGATTTATTGCGGTCGATCAATCATTCTAACAGTAAAATAATCTACTGGCATTGTAAACTTAAATAACCTCGACTATGTAGATTTCTTGTGAATACATCAAAGGAATTGCCGCCTCTGTCATGAAATATCGATAATATAATTACTGTTGTAAGGGAAAAACTTTGATTAATATTCGCTTGATACGGAAATTAAACATAGCATGTGACAGGCAGAATCCTTTCAATGTTTATGGCATCCTAGCATATACAAATAAACAAAAAAGGAAGAAGTTTTACTGCCCTTCAATCTTGATTAGTTCAGGATATGAATTAGAAATATTAGAATAAGAGTATTCAAGTTTACCTGCGTTCTAATGCTCTGTGAAAAAGTTTACACATATGGCACAATAAAACCTATCGTTGCCGCAATAATTGATATCTACTTGAAAAAGTGATTCATATGACCGTTTCCTACTTTTTTCTAAGTCTTAAAGGTTAAAGAAAATGTTTCAGTATCAGAAAGTATAAAGCATTTTACAAATTTCATTTTTTTCAATTTCTTTCTCAAAAAATAAAATGGATTATCGATAATGCAAATGAAATAAAGTAATGCAAAGAATAGAATGAAATTTAAGCACGTCTGTTCGTTCTCTATACATCATATTGGAAATCTGTTTTACGCTTTCGGACGATTCTCTTGCAATAAAGCCTCTGAAAACAGAACGCGTCCTGTCATTTGTGGGCGATATGCGAGATTGCCTGCATGTTTTATTGCAGAAAATAGGTTTCTACAATCTCTTATTATTGTGAATGTGTTCAAACAATTATTTTTGTAGATAAAAAGTGTTGTGTTCTAAGATATAAATTTGGATAATTATGCAATGTTTATGGTAGAGATAAAGAACTATTGTAGATTTTTTCTATATGTTCTTTAAATGGATAACTGATTGCGGTGAATTTGAATAAATATTATTTGATAACTTTGTTACAGGTAATTCATTTTACTTCGTAGTCCTTTTGATATTACTATGTATTTCTAAATAGTTGTACATTGTAACAACGAGACCTTTTGAAAGTAATTTATCAAAAACTGTTGAGCAACTGAGAACAGACTAGATCATTTAAATGACGACACTAATTTATATGATATATCGGTATATGACTAATTTTATATTTTTATATTTATACCAAATAATTATATGAATTCAATTCAAGGATTTACTTATTTGAAGTGATAAGTATTTCCTAATTTTCCAAATTAAAACTAAAGTGATAATAATGTTTAAAAGTTTCAAAAGATGTTAAGTTTTTGTTTCATCATACAAAAATAATCCACACAGTTGCATGACAGTCATGTTATTTAAAATGAAATTATACAAAAGGTTATTTTTAATTCTGCAAAGCATTTGGATCGAGCAACAAATAATGTTAGTGATTGATTAGTATTTCCTTGATCTTAAGCCTACACAACAGACAAATAAATCAGTTCTTGATTTTTATTTGAAAGTTACGTATATATATCCGTGCTTTGCATGTTTGTCACGATATTGGAATAGAACAATCTCGTCATTTCTGAGTTATCTGAAAGATTGTCAAGTGAGTTCATCTTAAGGAGAAACAATTATCATATTAGCACTATTTCAAATTTTAGCGTTATAAAATTAGTGATTACATTTATTTTAAATGATGAAGCTGCTTAGATGATAAAAGAGAATATAAATGTTTGAAAAAAGGGATATAACTGGTATTTAAAAATAATATTTTATTACATTATCTTTGTATATATTTTGGATTTTACATATTAAACAATAGAAAGATACAATAATTTCATGTTGAGCAAAGTGATTGCGAATACAGGTCATGATGTGCGACAGTTCAGTAAAATTAAGAAATAATAATAATTAAGAAATTAAAACCAAAACTTCGATTATAAACATATCGTGCCGTTCGCCTGAATTTTTTTGTTGAAATTTATTTTGAAGATTTGTGCATGGGAACTTTGTGTATACTCTGACTGACTGAACTGTGTGCAACATTGTTTAAAAAGTTACTGTTCTTAGATTTTAACACAAGAATGCTATTTCTGAGACTTTAACCTGAATATTTTATCTTGAATAATAATAATAATGCAATCCAGTTACGTATGTTTAGTTAATAAGAGATAACTTTGTTGAATGCATTATTTAAGCTTTGTTGTTTTTCATGTTAAATCGTTATTCGGTTATACGTATGGAATCTTTTCTTATTTTAGGAAACAGACTTACAAACTATTGCTGGTATTTGTAGAATTGGAGGGGAAACGCTGCTCAATAATACAGTTCAGATATTGATGGGAATTACGAAATATCAATAGGCGAATGCTGTTCCAGCACCATAGATAAAGAATGAGATATTTCAGAATTATTTGATCACCAAGGATTTGTAGTCCTACTGGGAGCTTTGCGTGCTATGCCAACAAGATAACAATTTGTATGAATAAAAATCTGGATAAAGAATAAACCTGTGTTTTCTGCATAACGTCTGATCGTAGTCTAGATTTACATTCTTAGAAAGACGTAAAGTCATTTAAGTGTAAATGATAAAACAGTTAAAGTTAGAAGTGTTATATCTAAAAGCGATATATGATAACTAGATAATGTGTTACAAATTCATTATTTCAAACGCTTTTTCTCACGAAAGAATAAGTACATTTTCATGATGAAGTGGCGATTTGATAAGTTATAAAATTATGAGTACAAATTGCTCAATTATTGGTAAAGTAGTAATGGGATTTAAATGGTTATGGTCGATTATTCAGCTAGGTCGCATTTTGAAAGCATGAACTATGTGCACTATATCTGGATCCTTCTATCCATTCTTGTGTCTGTCACATGTTCGTTTTGTTTCCTTCAACCAGAGTGGATAATACATCTAAATGTTCGGAACGCGTTTGGAATATATGCCTTCTGTGTCGGTAGCGCAGGATCTGCCCAATTCTCACGAACCTGTGGATTTTATGGCGGACGCTTTGGATTCGGAAACATTCCATGTACAATTTGGCAAGCAGCGTGTTTGCTGTATGGAGGGGGATCATTGTTCACATGTTTTGGAGCATTATGTTCCCTCACAACAATGTGTGTACGAAAAAGCTGGAATAAAACGTTGGTACTTTCCACAAGATATCTACAAATATCTTCAGGTATATGGTCGTTTATTTACTAGTATGAAGAGTTTACTCGAACGGAAACAAATAAACGCTTATTTTACTTAACAACCGACTAATGTTAAGTTTTTAAAAATAAATTTTGTTATGGAATTAAGGTCAGAATACAATTCATTCTGTTGAAATATATATTTTAATGCCAGTTAAAATGTGCATGTCTTGAGACTACAGAGTTGTCCATACGTTTATAATTTGTTTGACATCAATCTTGCCATTGTTTTAAGTTTTAACAGTATGTTTAATAATGTGAACCACATGAATAAAACAATTATATCAATAAATACACAGTAAATTCACAAGGCGAATTATTACACCATAACTAAAATTGCGGATATGTTCAAGAAAGGTCATGAAATGCATTTGTTTCTTTCAGCGCAATAAATAACTCGATAAAACTATAATAATACACTCAATCTAAGCCGTATTGCTTTGCATTATATTTATTTTTTCAACTTTCAATAGATAAATCTGCGCACGTCCCATACACACTGAGTGCTGCAAAGTCCCATGTCTTGTTTAATTTACAGCATTAGGTCGATATCAATCAAATTCCAAAGACAACACTTTTATCTCTTTATGTATATACTTAATCTGAACATACCCGATATCTTCACTCATTTAACATTTCAAAGAATAGTTTGAATGTTGGATTACATAACATCCTGTAAATTGTCAAGGTATCAAAGTATAAGTCTGTTCCTGTTGTTGTGTTTTGCGTCATGTTAGTACATTGCCCTTTATTATCATGGTCAACAAACATGTATTTTCAGTGTTCTTGATGACCTCTGGCCTTCTTGTTTTTCCACTTGGATTTGACTCCAACTACTTTCGGTTGTACTGCGGCACAGGCGCTAATGTTTTCAACTCGGGAATATGTCACGTTGGATGGACATACGTTCTAGCTATAGTGGGAGCGGCAATTTCTATATTTTGCCCGATTCTGTCTTATTTTAGTGCTGAAGAAACATCTCAAAACGAAGAGTTTGACTTTAAGATATAGTGTCGTGAAATAATATATGCATTGTAAGTTATGATCTCTACGCAAACCTTTGTAACTGCCACACTTCAGAAAGACAATTTCTAATATCAATTTTAACAATGGTTTGTTTTTTCCGAAATACGTTTTAGCAGTAAGGGTAATTTGAACAAGAAGTAATGGGTACATCCTATGTGCTAACCACCCATTCATCTGAAGCGGTTTTCTCTTACGTGCTTAGATTAGAAAACGTTTGATATGATACCATTGTTGACTTTTTATGATACAGTTGTAAAACTATCAATTTAATTTTTATTTGTATTGTATGTTATTTTATTCCATTTACTAATAGTATCATATTAACCATTTTTTCAATACACTGCATTCAAATTTTGCATTTATTACTACTGAGTCAATTATTAAATACAAATGATTTATTTATGAATGTAGATGTTACAACTGTATTGGCTTGTCGGAGACTTATATTCAAATTAAGATGGAACTGACGTATTGCATACGCGATTGCTGAACTGATAGCTTATTTGTTGATTAAAAGATATGCACTTACTTGTTTTGTGTACATAAAATGATGCTTTGAATGCAAATATGAAAATGCTAAATACGTAAAGAGCTTTTCAAGATTGCCGACTTTATTCCAAATATTTATATAAATTGTTTTTGTTTCGAAATTTTATGCTCTATGTTGAAACATTTGTTTATTTGCTGACGGTTATAATCTGAAATAAAAAAATGATGCAATTGAATCTTTGTTTAGATTGTATATAATGACATTTCAAAAACAATTATGTCAGGAACGTTTTATTAGAGATATCATTTCCAACATGTTAAATGTATGTACCAAGAAACAATTCATTTATGCTTAAAAAAGACAAAATACATCAGAAAAAATTGTTTTATGAGCGTATCAAACTTATACCCGAGAGATTTCACAAACACATTGTTAAGTATAACCAACGAATAGCTTTCATAACGCTATAACAGAGGCAGATGACGTCATTTAAGATGAAATGTTACAAAGCGTTGCAGTAATGGCTTTTCAGGACGCCTTGATTTCCTGGTAAAAAAAAAGTTTTCAATGCTATGCAACTATTTATTGTGACAAAATTAGTAGAAATAATAGAATGAAATGTAAAAAAAGACTTTAAGGAATATATAGTTTTAATAATTGACGCTTGGAATGAATAGTTTTTGACCTCATAAAAACCTTCATTTACTTTCAATTTGTTCATCTGTTCTAATATATATTTGACGTTAGTTCGATCATGTATGGATCACTGAGCTATAAATACACTTTTGAAAAATTCTGCCTATGCTGAGCAATTAATGTAAAGTTTCCTGCTGAAGGAAAAATCGGCTTGCCTCGAAAGGTGTTTATAACGCTCGGTTAGCAACTTGTTAAACACTCGCCCACTTGCTTTCTTACACATGACTAGTGATTCATATGATATATCTATTTAATAAAAAATTATATGCTGCATGTTGCTGTTAAGCAGCGTTTGTGGCATGAAATAAGCATTTTGTTCTGGATCTTATTTACAAGCATGAACTATTTATAAACGAAATCAAAGCTAATGTATCAGTTTATAATGTTTGATTTATAACAAATAGCAAGATAATGTCCATTCATTTTTTTATCTT